CCCCTCCTTCGGCCTCCAACCCGTCCCCCCGCCGTACCCCCGCCCCGTTTCCCGTCCCGAAACGGGGGGACGTCCGTCCGCCTCCCACGAACCCCCCTCCGCGCCCCCCCGACCGGGAAGCCTCGAGCAGTGCTGCAGTTTTCGGGCCGGCGGTTGCAGGGAGCGCCTGGCGATCGTAGTGGACCAGGTTTCCGGCCCCCTGGGATGGGTACAGCTCGTCCTGGATCTGGACGATGACGTCCTTCATGCGCTCGCCCTGTACCACGATGTTCTCAGCCACGTCACGGCTTACCTGCAGCAAGGTTTCCGTCATCAGTTACCTGCTTAGTCAGTTAGTTGGCTAACTAGTCAACTATTTAGTTGATATTCTAGCTCGTGGCTGTGGCAACATCGCGGCTCACCTGGACAACGGGTTGCACTACCTTGACAAGGAGGACGATAAGAAGATGAAGCCGTCGCGAGGAGCTGACTGCGCTGCCGTGCCGCATTTTAGGGGTCTACGACTGTCTCAGCGGAACCAAACTGATCGACCAAGCACTCGAACGAAGTTATAGGAAGAGGACTTCGGAACCGGGGATGCATGACCCAATCTGCAGGCCTCAAGCATGAAAAGAACCAAAACAGAGGAACGCAAACGGTGGGTAACACGATTATTCAGAGATAAAAGCCGACCTTGACGGGAGAAGGAACCGGGTGTCTCCTGCTAGCCCAGGTCTTCAACCAAAAGCAATGGCTTGGCAGTGGACCAGAGAAGGCTTGAAACGAGCAGGACATCTAGGATCAGAATCCAATCCCCACTGAGCAACTTCTACCTCACCCTGCTTAACATTGGCCAATCAGATTCTTCCAGGTATGCCGGATTGGTGACGCACCAGGGGGACAACCATGGCCGCTTCGCAGAGGAGGCTCTGAGCACACAAGATTCGCCATGATCCTCTCCCGCCCTCCTGGAGATGAACACCCCAGCATCGGGCATTTCACAAGCATCGCATTCAGGGTAGCCTCCTACCAGCAACTTGTTCTCAGTACAATCGAGCGCTTCTGGAAAACCAGTTCTCAGCGGCCGTTCCTCACCTCGCCCTCCTTGGTGACGGGCATGAGGCTCTTCCCCAGCGTGCGCAGCGCCGCCAGCGGCCCGCGCACCTGCTCCAGCATCCCGTCCAGGCGCACCCCCCGCTGCCAGTTGGCCTGCTGCAAAAACAGCGTGCGCTGGTCCATAACAGCCGCCATCGCAATCGTCTTTGCAACTTCCACCGCAACCTCCCGCTCCATCACACTGTAAACCCCCCCAGTTTCTACCACCGGTTCTGACCCCCCGAAAGACTCCTCACTCTCCGTGCTTTCTGAACCCCTGAATGACTCTCCGCTTCCTGTGCTGCTCTCTACACTGCCATCGATTGAGTCCGAGTGGTCGGATGTTTCTAAAGACGGGCTGCTGTGCTCCTGCGACCATGCCTCCTCTCCTTCGGACTCGTCGCTTTGACTCTCGTCCTCGTCTTTCTTCGAGAACAACTCTTGTAACTGCTTCCCAATGGCCTGCGCGCGGGTTAGCTTAACCCCTTCCCTGACCGCCGCACGCTGCGCCCTCAGTTGGTCCACGTCGAGCTTCGACCAGTCAAAGATGCGCCCGCTACTGCTCGCTTCCGAACCTCTCGAAGACCGCTCCTCTTTTCTATTTGCCGATTCATCTTCAGCAACCGACGAGTCATCACTTGAAACCGTCGGGTGATCCTCAGACACTGTCGGGGTTTCTTCCGAGACGGTTTGGTCATCTTCAGAGACTGGCTCGTCTTCAGAGACCGAAACCTCCTGGCTCGGAATGTCAATGATTTCCTTAACCTCTCCCGCCGAGGAGAACCCCTTTCCCATACTCCGTAGCCGCTGCCGAATCTGCCGGGGGGACTCAATCACGCTAGCGGGGCTGCTAGCTTGTTTCTTCACCTTGCCGGCCTTCCCCCGTTTGCCCGGCATCCGGCCCTTGCCCCGCCCCGCCGATGCGTAGCCCCCACTCTCTTTCTTCTTCCCAAAATCAATTATGGGACTCTGCGGCATCTGCTGCCACTGGTCGACGATGCTCGAGTTACTGCCTACCGACTCCTCAGGCCCGTTCACACCGCCGGCCCCGTTCACATCATCAGCCCCACTCTCACCAGTCGCCCCATTCACATCCCTCTGCCCGTTTTCATCTGCATCCTCTGCCGAGCCAGAAGCCTCGGCGAAGCTCACAGGACGCTCTGCAATCAGCAGCCCCACCAGGAAGGAACCTCTAGACATCGGCAAGACCATCGCTCTCTTCTCAGAAACCTCTATAGCTTCCTCGCGCACGAGCCAGTGCTCCGCCTGCCGCTCGGGAAGGGGCTCCTGGCTGCCCCCGACCAGCCGGACGATGTCGAGAAAGTCGGGCTCAACCAGTTCGGGGAAGAGTGCTACGGGCTGGAGGTCTACCTGGCCAGACGCGTAACTCTCAGGCGTCCGAATGTACACCTGCCAACGAGTGAACCTAGGTCAGCCTTTGACACTTTCAAATTTTCCTTGATGTACACCGTTTTACCATACAGAATCTGCCCTTTTGTTTTAGAGAGACTCATGGTCCTCACCTTGTAAGTTATGGACTTGCCTGTCAGAATGCAGAGGTGCCAGTTAAAGAAGTGGGATTTTGATACCTGAGCTCCAAGTAAGTTTCATACAACTCTGTTCAGACACTGTCATCTAAATTCTAATCCTCTTTATTGAGCGGTACTTGGGGAATGAGATACCGGAGTACTGCTTTTCAACTCAGTGCAACCACATAGGAGAGCTGGTCACAACAAATCTTCAAACAGGTGTTGTCGGCACTTCAAGTTTCATTAGAATGGTAAAACTTGCATCTCACCGTGAAGCTTGTATCTTGTCCCAGCACCTTGCTGGCCAACTGGAGCTGCGCCCGGCACAGGCTCAGAAAGTCCTCCCCCGGAGCCGAAAACATTGTGCTAGACATTGAACCCCGCCTTCTCGCAACCTCCACCTCGGCAGAAGCGGCTGCAGTGGCAGCGGCCGCAATGATTGATGCAGTCCACGGAAGCCCCAAGTCAGCCTCGCTTTGCTTGCTGATGGCATCATCTCGCTCGCTGGTCAGCTCATCAATCAGCTGTGCCCTGAAAACAGGGTTCCGCTTCCTGCAACTGCGCAGCGTTCTGGAAGGTACTGTATGCGATAAAGTGCTCGAAGTGCTTGACTGCCTTGCGATTTTTCTGTCGCTTGTCCCATTCAGAAATATGAAGGGGTATCTTCTTCTCAGGTTGTTGGCAGCATTGTGGCTCCTGAGATGCACAGTCCGCCAACGGGGCAGAAACAGAGACGCAGTCAAATCAGAGCTTTTGCTTGCAGAAGGTTGAGCCAGTTCAATCACCCCGCCTGGTTTCTTCGCCAATTTTCTTGCAACTGTCTTGCGCGAACCTTCTGCCAGCGCCTCCATTTCTGGGAGGGCAATGTAGTGGCGCATCAGTCAGATTGTAGCCTTTGCTACATAGCGGCCCTTTGCATGGCCCTGTAGACACTGACCGAATAATGCTTTGCGTTGGGGCGTCTCAGCTTCTTCTGCTCCACGTCAAGATGCGTGTGTGTTCACCATGCCGGAGCGCAACGCCAATGAATTTGAAGTAGGTAGCATTCAAATTCAATCGAACAGAGTCAGATGTCAGAGGGCAGAGGGCAGAGGGCAGAGGGCTCTAGAGTCTAGGTGCTCGCGAGCTACCGTAAAATAGAGGTGCTGGGTTAGAAGATCGATAACCCCTCGTTTAGTCCAAACCACACCTTCCACATTGAGAATCTTCGATCTGATTCACAGCAAACTCAAGCCGCATTCTATTAATTAGTAAAGCTTGGCCAAAAAGAATCATTGAAACTTGAAAAAGAAGTTGCGCATCCGCGCTAACCTGACGCGGCTATGGTCATGGCGGACGTGGCAGGTCGCATTTGAGCTGAGCATCATCTCCCCCATGCCATGGCGGGGCGGACTCACAGCTGGTGCAGCAGGACGCGGTTTGGAGGAGATCTGATGAAACTTGAGTTCATGGGGCCTGTTGAAGATCCAATGTTCATTCTTCCAGTGAGAAGACGAGGATCAACAAGCCCCACGTTTGCGCCGCAATGGGAGAAGTGTATTTGACAATTGCAACGCCGCTGATAATGTTGCAGCAGAACGGCAGAGAGGCCTCTTTCTTTGGCTTCGTTTCTTCCCTTGATCGCTCACAGGACAAGACGCCCACCTGTTGAAGCTCATCCCAATTTAGGGTTTGCGAGGCTCCAAACCATCTGTTGGTCAGAGTTGCATCATGGCTGCCAAGTCGTCAAAAGATCGTACTACTATCATATCTCCAGGAGTTTCATCTGGAATAGGCGCACTAGCTGGAGTCATTGAAGTTGCCCTGCAGCAGCCTCATGTGGCCTGGAAGAATGCAGTTCAGGTACGGCTAGTCTCTTGATCTTGGCCTCTGCATATGTTTAGAAGTTGGATCACATGATTTTGTTAGATTTAGATGCTCAATGCAATTCAAGTGAAGTGTCCTTGATCTCCTCATTGCCCGTTCAAAAAGTAAAGCTTCAAGAAAGACCCCCAGGCGGTCGTAGGAGGCGTTCAAAGGTCCAGCTCCAAAGTCACACATGACCAGACTGTCTTTCCATGTGCAGGACAACAGACCGGTACCCTGGACTCGCCCGGCGCAGTTGTACAGAGGGGCGCTCGTGAATGCTGGCTCGATGGCCCCAATAAATGCTATCCAGTTTGGGGTAGATAAGCTCCTCTCAGAAGCTTTGCTGGCAAGAGGTCGCAAAGTCTCTGATGCTGGCAAGATCGGGGTTGCAGCATCTGCGGGTGCGGTGTCTGCGCTGGTCGGATGTCCCGCTGAGCTCATCATGATTCAGCAGCAGAAGCAAGGGGGTTCTCTGGCGAGCCAGCTTAGGCAAGTGGTGCAACAGCACGGGGTCACGGCATTCGCCAAAGGGCTGGTGAGTATAGAATGAGGACCTCAGTGCTTGGAACACCTCTTCCTGGTTTGAAGTCTTCCTTCAGTCCTAAGTTCAGCCTGCAGGCTAAGGGCTAACCCCCAGTTATCAACATCTGCTTTGGAGTCTTGTGACCCTTTGTTTTTCAAATTCTGAGATCCTTCTGCTTAGAAAAGATGTGGTCTGCCTTCTCGCCTGCAGGTCTGACCGTTCAACTTTCATCTTTCAAATTTTGAATCTATCAGCTCAGCATTTGTAGAATGACCTTGATGATTTGAAGTTGCTTTGGTTTCATTCCCTGCCCCAGGACGACCACGCAAAATCGAGCTGGGCCTGAGGCATTTTTGGTCCCTTGGTTCAAAGGACATCTACAATCTGGAAAGCTGCTTCCTTTTTGTGGTTGTCAATGCATCCTGCCTTCCCTTTCCGACTTCAGAATGGCCATTCTTTGTCGACCCTTCGTCAGGAACCCGAGCTGACTGAGAAACGAAAAAAGGTAGTGAAGACTCGAGGTTCTGGCGTGTACTCTTCATGGTTCGTCAGCTAACTCTGGAATTATGCCGTCTTTGATATTTGTCAGGGCCCCACTGTCATCCGAGAGAGTATATACACTGGCACATACCTGGGTGCCAACCCGCTCATCTGCTCAAAGCTGCAGCAGCTCCAGCCAGGGTTGTTCGCAGATCGTCCAGTGGCAGCAATGGTGGTCGCCTCCATCGTCTCAGGCCTTGCAGCGGCAGGCCTGACTCAACCGGTACATATCTAGTCCAACTCTCTGCAGCGTGAACTGCATACTTGTCTTATCAGTACCAATTTTGTATATCTTTGTCGTGGTCCGCTTTCTTCAAGCGGCAGCGCTCTCCATTCACACCGCGCGGTCACCGTGCAGTCGTCGTTCCATTCATTCGACTAGATTTCGTCATGATTCTTGAAAGTCCAAGATACAACGAGCTTGAAACAAGGCTCCCCACTTGTTGCAAAAAGTGCGCATACATTTTTCTTGCCCACCATATCCCTTTCCTTGGATCTCCAGGTTGATGCCATCAAAACGAAGTTGCAAGCAAACCTTGGAAACCCAGCATACAGCTCGGTGACGCGGACTGCAGCCTCCATGATTAAGGTGCGTGTGTCCTCTTTTCTCACTTCCTGGCTTGTCCTCTTAGTCGCTGGATGTCTTTCAAATTCACTGTTGTCCTCGCAAATACCTCCCATACTGGCTTTTCCGTTGGCAGTCTGTTGCACTACAAAGTAACCGTGCTTCATCGCAACCCTTGTCCGATTTGTGATCGTCGGTTCTGCAATCGAGGGAGGGTGGATTGAAAAGAGATTACATCCTTTCAGGAACGAGGAGTGCTGTCCCTGTGGAGTGGATTGCTACCCCGATCTCTGCGCATTATTGGCGCTGTTTTCATCTTGGGCGAAGCAAAGAAACGACTAGAGGCAGGCTATCTCTCATTGACGGCAAGCCAAGATGTAACTACTCTGAAGGCCCCGCTCTAAAGCAGTCGGTCATGTATGTCCAGAAATCACAAATGAATCCCTGATTCTTAACGTCATGATGAATCCGCAGACACACTATTTATTAATCATAAACATACAACCAAGTGAACATTTCACAAGTTGCCCGCACAGGTATCATTAGAGCAGCGATAAACTGAGGTGAAGGTGATAGATCGAGGTCAGACTAGGATCGCGTGTAGGAGCCATCTGTATGTATAGATTATGAAGACTATCTACCGGAGACAATTGATAAACCGATAAACCTGCGCTTAAAAGCACTTTAAACCTGGTGGGATTCACCTCTCGAATGGTAAGTGAGGGCCATAGTAAAAGTGGAGTAGGAACTTAAGGTCGGGCATAACCTCAAGTTTCTGCTGCAGACCACTTTGTTTGCTAGGGGTGTTTTAGAGGGGCCCGCCATAACTCCAGAAGGATTCGGCCACATTCCTAGCTAGAGCATGCAAGAAAGATTGATGTGGTAAATTACCCTCAGGTCGGATTGGATGCCGTCCATACACTGATGGGTTTATCAATATATTCATGATACGGTCTTTACAATCATGCGCTAGCTCAAGCCGCCTGGCACATGCACGAGATATCTACGGTGCTTTATTTGATCCTCGTGAATTGCGGCAATTCACGGGGGTCGGTGCCGGGTCCGTCCCGGGACCGCCCACGCGAGGTCCAAATTGATACAATTTTCGCAAGGGGATCATCGCGGCACCGTCGTGGGACGGCGCGAGAGTCCTACGGGGAGCCAAACCGAGGCCGCAAGTCTCAACTTTCGATTCGATACCACTAGTTTGAAAGATAGTCAACGGCACTATCCCGGACGCCGCGCACACGGTAGCAAGGTACCGTAGGTAGGAGTACTTACGGGTACATTACTTATATATATACCCAGGTAGGTATTACTAGGTAGGTACCGTAGGTACTACCTGAGTAGGCTACCGCCGGTACCTACCTTTAGCTTAACCCCCTATTTTACCTGTAGCGGTCGGGACCGGTGTGGGTCCTACCACGAGAAATAGGTACCCACATGACTTTGGCTTCAATGGTACGCCGGTACGAGTCACGACGTAGGTACCGTAGGTATCTATATGTCAGAATACCGGTAAGGTAATACGGTAAACCGATCGCTCGATAACCGCTCTGGGTCAGCTATACGGAAGATAGGTAGTAAAAGGGCCTAGGCCCTGGGTTAGCATTCAACAGTGTACGGTACATGCCTTTTCATGGTACCCACTCGGAAAACCGGTAGGTACCCGCCTAGACACCTACCTATGCGGTACTCGAGTCGAGAGTCACTGCTAATACCGTACTAAGGCGGACCGACGGTACCTACTCGCGAGTCGGCGAGCGTGGACAGGACGTACCACATTCTGATAAGGCTTCAACCGGGCGGGTTTGGCCACGGCCCACTTCATCCTCCTCCCCAAAGCTGTATGAAGGAGGAGCTTTGTGTAATTTTCATGGGGCGCCTTCAAAATGGAGGAACATTTACAAAAGCCCCATGAACTACCACTTCTGGGGATCAACTTTTGATGGCGCTTTGTAATCATGCTCAGAACACCCAATGCAACATGCATGTAAATTTCCACAGGTATATATCTCTTTAAAATATTTATGGCGTGACGTCAAGTTGGTATATTTATCAGGTAAATCCCCATATTACCCCGGGAAAATCCGGGGATCCCCTGAATATTGCTCGTTCCGACCCCCGGCGACCCCGGGACGCACCCGGGGAATTCCCCGTGAGATTTCAGAAGTACTCACGGGGTGCAGGGGTAAATCCCGGGACCGTCGGGCGACCGATCGACGGTAAATGCCCGAATTCACGACGCTGTAATTTAGCACCGTAGCTACCTCGTGTGTGACATATGCTCACCGACTTGGTACGTCGCAGCTGAAGCACATGCACGCAAGCTAAGATCTGGGTTGATTGCATGCATGATGCGTTTATCAGATTGAAGAAGCATCACTCAGATCTTGATTAAGTCCTTAATTTGATCACGGATGCGCAAGTGGCCGCCCGCTTGCTATACCACTGTCCCATAGATCTGCGGTTCACCGGAGTGACCATAACGAATAATTTGTGCAACTTGCATGCACAATAAAATGTGAACATTGGGCCCTAGACATGCCAAGCTCTGGCACGGGCTGGCAGGTCCTTTACATGACACCGTGGCACTCCTGGCTGCATGAAGCCGTCTAATTCGAGTCTATACGTCGCAAGTGATGCATAGTAATCGAGCTACATAGAGAGTACGGTTATGCTTCCCACTAAGCTCATCTTACTGATAACTTGAAGTAGCTGGCAACAAGATTCGAAAGTTTTCTGCGGTCGGTTGATCAATGAGACCAGATTCAAAGTGCACAGTGTCGGATCTCACGCGGCGACAGTGTCCAAGCTAGAGCGGAGTTTTGATGTCCGGCCAGGAAACGCTTGATCGCGTGAGAACCTCGCGATATCGCAAATCCATAAAAGCCATAGACATTAACAAAGGGAAAACCAACCCGATTGTGTCCTCAAGGAAGCGCACTGACGAAGAATGACTGGCAGCAGCAAGCGGGCCCGGTTGGCAAGCTTGCCGGATGTTCTGTTCCGCTCGTGAAAAGGACTGAACGGAATAACGGAATGAAGTGCGGACGGGGCGGAATCTGGTCCGGAGCTCAGAAGGCTTTCAAGTTGAAACGCTTAGAGAGCCGAAACATCGAGGGGAAGCCAGCCTTCGACCCAAGCTCTTTCAAGAAACGTTTCTGCTGATAACTTTGCAGTCGGAAACGTCCAAACGAAAGTCGAAGTTGGTGGCACAAAGCTCTCAGAAAATGTTCCATATCTTGACTCGAGTTCTACAAACTAGAAGCGAATTCTTTCCTCTTCACAAACGAGGGTCTTACAAGCTGACTGTACGTCTTAAGCTAATCTTGCTCGAACTTGTTATCCTTCTCGTTCAGCTGTGCTAGATTCTCGAAAACTGCAAATTAAAAAAAGCTGTGAAACTTAGATTTTTCGGATATTGAGACGGCATGCCTTCAAATATCAGTTGTCTTCGATGTCCAAAAGCACTGAGTAACTGTCATAGTCGATCATTTGCGGCTTTTTAAGAGACCCTTGACTTTAATTCAATGTAATTTCTGCAATCAACTTGTGTGCAACTCAGAAGGCTACTAACAGAACTTGCGCTGTTCAAAAGCAATGGCTAGGCCTTTTTGAAGGAAGAACACACTCCTGTGTCTACAATAGTGTCATCTCGGTTTCTTGGACAAGCGGCAAAACTTCTCGTTGACGCTTAGCACGCCTTATTGTCAGTAACTTGATCGCAACCGCAGCAAGGATGCCAGCGGCCAAACCGATTCCGATCAAAACCACAAACCATGTCCCAAAATGCGAATGGTGACTTGACGTGCTTCCTGCACATTTAAGACGACAAAAGTATCAATCACAGACTCAACAAAACGTCTTAAAAACACAAGAAGAATCAATCACTCACAGACAGGGCCTGGCAACAAGACGACAAAAAGTATCAATCACAGACTCAACAAAACGTCTTTAAGACACAAGAAGCATCAGATCACAGAGAGGGCCTTGCATCTTCGACTCAACAAAGTGTCTGTCAGTTTGCAAGAAGCTGCATCAGAACACTAATCAATATTTCAAGGACGATCTGGACACCGCTCTGTCGTTCAAGCTTTCAAGCCACTCCAGACAGCTCGCAAAGGAACGAGTACAGGCACAGTGAAGGGCAACACAGTTTGCCCTCATTCTGATCATCATTTATCAATCATCAAATGCATACCTGTTTGTTGATCCACCGGGGGACCCCGCATGCTTGCAAAACCCCGCACATCTCCACTCTCCCCATCAAGCGGTGTATTCATGGCCCCCTCCGCGCGCGCAAAACCAGGTGTGTTGGACCCCTTCCCGACGACCAAGGCAGCCGTCTGCGTGCTTACGGGAGTGGCTTTGTAGGGACTGGCAACGACAGGCCCTACTGGTCCATGCGCAAGAGCGGCTACTGTGGGTATGGTTTCTGGTGACGATTGCGGTCCGCTTGCAGCGGTTTGGCTCAGCAGACTCTCCAAGGGGGCAGGCGCAGAGACCGGTTCACCTATATCAACGAGTGGGTGGACTAACTGTTTGGGGGGTGACAGAACTGCTTGCAGTGGTTCGATGGAGGGTCCTCGAACAGGAGCGCTGGACGTCTCTTCCAGGTTTGGGAGTACCCCCTCAACAAGCGCACTTGTTGGTGCGAGCGACTGAGCGCTATTCTGTTCCGGGGGCGAAGGAAACGCGGGAAGTGGTTCGATGGAGGGTGCTTGGGAGGGGGCTCTGGACTTCTCTCCCAGAGTTGTGAGTACTGGACTCGTTGGTGCAATCGATTGAGCGCTATTCAAGAGCAGTTGGGTTGAAACAGGAGTTCCCGCTGCAACTTCTGGGCCGGCACTTGATTGCCGGTCAACTGTGGGCAAGGGCAGGGGGGCTGCCCCTTGAAACAGCAAGTCCGCACCTATGGATTTTGGGGGCTCCTTTTCCCCTGGGATTTTGCCCCCTGAATCAACTCTTACTCCAGTGTCCCCATCCGGTGAGCTGACGTTAGACAGACCTACAATTGCCGTCCCTATCAGTGAGCGCACCGAACGTTTAGCCCTTGGCAACGAGGCCCCCACGCCTTCGCTTCCAACCCCTGCAGCAACATGGGGTTCAATGCTGAGTACATACACACGGTGTAGCAATCTGTGTGCCAATGTTGATCATAATCTCATCATTGTGCACGCCAGATGGTGGTACATTCTGCTGCATGGGAAAGACAAGTCTCTGCTACTTTTGATGAGAACCATCTTGTTAAGCTGCTTGAGATCTCAGAGTCAGCACTCACCCTTCCGCACACCAATGGAGCTTAGCTCTGACTGAAATGTCTTGAAACCAAAGAAGTGATTATACGGTGGACAAGGGAAGATGACAGCACAAAGACCAAAAAGAAATGCTCACCAGCAACGAAGAAGCACACAAAAGCAAGTGAACACCACAGCCGCCTGTTCGGTCGGAAGGGCATGCTTGTCCACGACATTGTACCCTGTCTCTCTTCTTAACGGACAACTTATTTGTTGGCCATCAACCTCCGCAGGTTAAAGGTAAGCAGGCCTCAACGTCACACCACACAACATCTGACGCTGCTTGACAATTCCAGGCCACTTCTCCACCTTGCGAGCTAGGCCAGCTTGCTGCTTGCCCAAAGCCCTTCCTCTGCCATGTCAGTTAATAGCAATGCTGCTCCCTGTCACAGCCTTGCTTGCATGGTGGCCTCTTGAAGTTGCAACTTGCAGACTGCAGTGGCAGGTTGCAAGGTGTTGCCTCAGCCCTGGGCCCTCGGGGTTTGAGTATCAAGCAGAGCTTTTTGGTGCGGAAGGTCGATTTTAGTGCATGCGGATCCGCTCGAATATAGTGTCTGCTCCTGCACAAAGTTTCAGAAATGCTCCATCTTAAATAGAGGTTTTTTACCAACATCAGATTTCTTCACATCCGATGATTGACGTCGTATGGTAAAATTATTGGCCCAATATGTAGGAGCAACTTGAGCTCTGGAGTTTGGTCACATGGAGCATTCTCCAACGACAGAGCAAGAAACACGAGGCGCAGGCGCAGGCGCAGACACACGGGCGCATCTTCTCTCCAGACCCTCAACTTGTTTGAAGACGTGCATCTTGGGAGAAACAAAAAGTCGGCAAAACCTACACACAACCTGGGCCTTTGATATCGAAAATGAGCCGCTACGACAGTCGCTATTCAGATTCCTCATCCTACAGGGATCGGAAAAGGTAAGGGCCAGGGAAATGATCCTAGGCAACGTTTGCATCATTCAGCTGAAATTGATGATCAAGCCTGTGTTGTTGCGTATCGTTTAGTCCCTTGGTCCATTGTCTTCTCATCATTTATCTACCCTGACTTTATATGATAGCACAGATGCTCACACTTTTCCTATGTTGCAGCGACTTTGGTGGATATAGCGGTGGTGGTTATGGGGATGGAGGCTATGGTGGGGGAGGTTACGGAGGTGGTTCAGCATATGGAACGAGGGATCTTGACAGCATCGAGCTGCCAAGGCAGCACTTCGACAACCTGCCTGTTTTTGAGAAGAACTTTTACATTGAGCACCCAGCGGTAGCTGCCATGTCCGATGCGGAGGTAGAAGAGTACCGCAGGCGGCGAAATATCACCGTGGAAGGGCAGAACGTACCCAAGCCAGTGCGCACGTTCGAGGAGGCTTCGTTTCCTGGTGAGGCACTTATTACAACCGTGGTGCACAATTGCATGTAGGGTAACACTTTATTGCACTTATCTTTGCATGATGTTTGGGGAATGTCTGGCTTCTGCTTGATTGATTGCTTTGCTTTTCGTGCATGGTACATTCAGGATCAGCTTGACTTTTGTAACTGACATGTTGAGCTGATTCCCAAGTTACCATTTCTTGCAGAGTACGTCCAGGATGAAGTGCTGAAAGCAGGCTTCCAAGAGCCCACTGCCATTCAGTCTCAGGGGTGGCCCATGGCATTGAAAGGGAAGGATCTCATTGGGCTTGCCGAAACGGGCTCCGGAAAGACTCTGGCGTATTTGTTGCCAGCTATTGTGCACATCAATGCTCAGCCCTATCTCCGTAAGTATGCCCCTCCTTGTACTGATCTCGGTTTGAATGGAAGAAAACTTCATGCATTAGGGTTTGCTATTTTCAGTTCCTTGGGAACCAATACATTTTTGGTGGTGGAATCTCAAACACTGCGTCATTCAGGAAGCTTCAACAATGAAAGCCGTTTTGAAGAGGTGTGTAGAGTCATGCACGTGCAAGTATTGTAGCTGGTTGCTTCTTTCCTTGTGCACCGTTCGAAATGCCACTTTTGTCGCGAAAGACATGTTGAACTTTGCATTCCTTGCTTCTACAATTCTGCTTGCAGCCACTGCTGACGATCTTGAAGTCATTCGCATATTGAACACTTGCATATTGGATTTTCATTGCCTGTTTCAAAAGGCAGAGTTTGGGCGGTCAAGCCATGCCAGTCCGATTAGCCTCAACTCTATCGCTTCCAGAGCCAGGCAAGACCTGTAGTTGCTTGAACTCACTTGACCACTATCTGTGTTGTCCACTTGCAGAGCCAGGCGACGGCCCCATTGTCCTCGTCCTGGCCCCCACTCGCGAGCTGGCGGTGCAGATCCAACAGGAGGCCCAGAAGTTTGGCTCCAGCTCGCGCATCAAGAACACGTGCGTCTACGGCGGCGCCCCCAAGGGCCCCCAGACGCGCGACCTCAGAGCGGGCGTGGAGATTGTAATCGCCACCCCGGGCCGGCTGATCGACATGCTCGAGTCCCGGGTCACCAACCTGAAGCGGGTGACGTACCTGGTGCTAGACGAGGCCGATCGCATGCTGGACATGGGGTTCGAGCCGCAGATCCGGAAGATTGTGAGCCAGATCCGGCCCGACCGGCAGACGCTCTACTGGAGCGCCACCTGGCCGAAGGAGGTGCAGGCGCTGGCAAACACGTTCCTGGGGGACTACTACAAGGTGAGGCGCTGCGCTGCTCGGGTTGCTCAAACTTCTTCTGACTATGAGATGCTAAAGTCTGGCTTCGCGTTCAAGGCGTCCGCTCATGACTCCCATAAGCTGTGTAGTGGCCGTAGGCTTTCCTTGACGCTGGTGCTGTTGTGAAGGCATGGGCCTAAGCATGCCGTTGAAGATGTTCGCGGTGCACATACATAACCAAAAGCGCTACAAGGTTGTCGCTCCTTCACCGGGGGGACCTTGACATCATTCGTTTTCGATTTCAGGGCATGAGTAGGCTCCGCAGTTGCGGTTGCCGGTGACTTCTCCAGGAAAAGGATTGAAGTTTTTGGATGCTGATAGCTCTTCCGTTCTTGCAGGTAACCATTGGGTCCCCCGACCTGAAGGCCAACCACATGATCGAGCAGATTGTGGACGTCATCTCCGAGCACGAAAAGTATGACAAGTAAGTGAAGCTGCTCAAGGAGGAGTTGCTTGACTGTGCTAGGACTTTTTCTGCTTTAGCGATTGTGGAGACTGTCGTGAGTTTGAGCACTCTTTGTGCGGATGCTCGAATCTAGTCTGTATGAAACAAAGGCCCTACCTGTGTTTGCAACAGGGGGAAAGAGAATCCTTTTTTTCGTGGCCTAACTTCTAGTTCATAAGTGGTTTGCTTCCTTCTTCGGTCCCTGTTGCAGGCTATCGGAAACTCCTTTCTTGTTAATCCTGCTTTTCGCAAAAAGATTCCGAAGGTCCTTTAGATCTTCCGAGAACCTCATCAACTTTCCCGCTGCCAGCTAGTGTTCGTTCTGAGAAATCAAGGTCTGCTTATTGTCCTGCTGTCAACAATTACTAGACCCCCTTCTCGCTGCAGCCCACCGAAACTGCCTCGTTTGGCTAACTCTCAACTCCTCGAAGGAACGTTCTGGTGCTTTTAGTTGCCCCTAGTCCTTCCTTAAACCTCTTCTTAACCCCTTAGAAACCGTTTCTGAACCCTTTTCTCCTGTCATCAATAGGCTGGTGAAGCTGCTGGAGCAGCTGATGGACGGCAGCCGCATCCTGGTGTTCATGGAGACCAAGCGCGGGTGCGACCAGGTCACTCGCCAGCTGCGACTGGACGGCTGGCCCGCGCTCTCGATCCACGGGGACAAGAGCCAGTCGGAGCGCGACTGGGTGCTCGCCGAGTTCAAGTCGGGCAAGAGCCCCATCATGACGGCCACCGACGTCGCCGCGCGAGGGCTGGGTACGTGCAGAGGGTTGGTGTGGCAGTGTGTTAAGACATATTGTTGCAAGTACTGTTCAGAGATAGGATCGTCTGTTTGCTGGCTGATTGACCAGACTGCTGGTCGGATGTCAACAAAGCAAGGCTTTCGCGGTCCTTCGCGTTTGTGTGAAAGTCAGAGGCTTCTGGTAGTTGTGGCTTGAAGCTCCTGACACGCTGCTCCAGCAAAGGAGAGCTTTACTGAGTCGAAATTCTGCTCGAAAAGAAGTCTCTACTGAAGTGGTTGGGGTGTTAGCGTTGCGTGCAGGGCGGAGGCAGCGTCGTCGGAGGTGCAGATTACATGCACTGGCCGGTGCTGCTGCCAAAGCCTGCACTACAAGTTCAAAGGAGATGTCTGACTGCCTCTGCAAAAGAGCAGCTTTGCTTTGCGGTCAAGGCGCTCGTGCTTCTTGTCTGCTTTTCCGTTGGTGCGCTTTGGGTCGTCGTTCGTTGTTCTCGTCTCGTTTGTGGTACTTCCGGAGATTCTCTCGTGATTGTTGTCGTTTTCCCATAATTGCATATGCATGCCGCCTGCTAGCTGGGTGGAGGCTTGCTTCATTCCTCGCCTTCATATTTCGGCAGCGATTTTTGTCGCGTCTCGTCATCTTACGCCAACGAACGTGTTGATTCGTCGCTTCATCCAACGAAGGCTTGTTCCGAGGCTTATTCGATCCGCCGACGAACCCTTGACCCGCCAGTATCTCACTACTTTGGCCTTCTTCCACACCACTTTCTGCTGAAAGCTTTCTGCTTCATGTCTGTCATCAACTGGACCACTTTCTGTCACACCACTTAGTTAGTATCCATTCCTCCGCACCACACACCACTCGTTCATTCAGTACTGGCCCCACTGCCGCCCCACTGCGGGTGACTGCCTGCCTGCTGCTGAGGCCTTCGCGGCCTTTCCGTTAGCACACTGTTTAGAAGTCGTTCCTAGGGGCGTGCGCGCTCGCGGCTGGCGGCAGGCCTTGAGGGGCCTGTTCCAGGCCACGCGAGCGGAGCCGTCTGCGGAGCACTTTCTAGGCAGCAGGCGGGGCACAGCCCCTGGGCGGCACAGGTAGGCCGCCCCTCTTCCTTGAGCTGCCCCGGTTTGAAGGGCGGTGAAGGGGGGATGCCCTGCCTGTGCGTGTGTGTCTTGCTGTTTTGGTTGTCGTTCGTGTCACTGCAGGCAAAAGCAGTGCATAGTGGAGTCTTTGATGAACGACACGTCCAGTCTGTTGGCTGCTGGACGCGTGTGGTTGGATTGAATCACAATTGTCTTTGTCGTTATTAATACACGACGGCCTTTCTTGCAGAGAAAATTTTCCTCACCAATGTACGTTGTCCTTCAATTGCAGATGTGAAGGACATCAAGGCCGTCATCAATTACGACTTCCCGGGCACCATGGAGGACTACGTGCACAGGATCGGCCGAACGGGCCGCGCCGGCGCGAAGGGCATAGCGCACTCGTTCTTCACCGCTGCAAACGCGAAGCACGCTCGGGAGCTGTGCAGTGTCATCTCTGAGGCGGGGCAGACGCCCAACCCAGAGCTGCTCAGCATGGCTTCCTCGTCGAGAGGGTTCGGTGGCGGCGGCGGCGGTGAGTTGCTTGTGGAGCTCTGATGACACCAGCGTTCAGTTGTCTGGTTCTTGCGGTGTCCGCTTCTTTCTTTCTTTTGGTTGCCTTTATGGGCGCTTGAATGCTTTTATGCATACAGTCTGGTCGAACCTGCAAATAGGCCGATTTGGTTCTGACGGTATTCGCTGCGCCGATCTTTGTAGAGAAACTTTGCACAACCTCTCCTTAGTGGGTCCGATCATCCGCTTTATTTCGGGGATTTCTCTGATTATCGGGAAGCGAAGTTGGTGGTCTGAAAAGCGTTTGGCATACCTAAGCTTGCGCTTTACGTCACTGTCCGCAGGTTTCCGCGATAGGGGTCGTGGAGGGGGCGGCCGTGGAGGCGGAGGATTTGGCAGCTCGGGGGCCAATGCTTTGCCTCTGGGAGGTGGGGGTCGATGGTAAAGAGAATGGAAACAATGTCTGAAGATTGCCATTGTTTACGAGAAGATATAGATTGCTAAGCCCTAGTCAGACAATAAGCAGATTGCATCGAGTCGGAGGCGGAACTAAGATCAAACACAACCGTTCTCATGTCAAGACCCTTGTCTTTCAAGATCTGTCAATGCCAAGTCGTTTGGTGTGTTGAATTCACTCTTGACAGAAACGGATTTACTGTAAGGGTGTCTGAGGGAGTCGTTGAACATGAAGCTCAATATTTTCCAAACGACCGTGGTCGCATGTTCATCGTGGCGCTTGCCAACATTGAGGTTAGGAGAGACCCTCGCTCACCTCGCTCATTGTAAGTTCCGGCCTGAGTAAATAACGATGTTTCAGACAGAAGGAAAGCTATTCATCATCGTTTAGGTGCTCCTCTAAGGAATTTGTCGAAAAGTTGTTGCGGATTAGTAGCACCCGGCCCCATGGTTTTCTTTGAGTCATTACCTCTGCTCAATGAAATGATCACTTTGTGCCGGCGAGCCTAGCCCCACTCGAGCGCCCTGGTCATGCCACATCATCATGAATCAATGCTTGCCGGCGAACTTATCTGCATGATCGCGTGGCAAAAAGGATCTTGGTCATGCAGTTCTTTTCAACTCCAAACGCACATATACAGATTGTAGTGCAAGGTGGCCACTGGACCGAAACTCGCAAATTCGCCCTAGCTCGCGCTCATGCATGCATCTGTTGAGCATGATATCGACGATAGCACGATGAAGTGAGCGTACAATTGCATGGTGTGGAATGCAGTGCACTGGCCCGCTTACACCTTGTAGTACGTCGTAGCCATGAGACGAATTTGCTGCATGCTTGTTACGAGCATACATGATCGAAGAGCTTGTTCGTCTTGCACCAGTGCCGCAGGTTTGAGTTTCTATGATGGCTGCCAGGCTTCAAGTACGACGACCAGGCCCTTAGCGATGCGCAATACTCTCTGCGTATAGACAATGCACGCATGTGTCCTACGCAAGCTCGTTTTCGCCTCTCAATTCGAGTCCATCTCCAATCGGACTCTATGGTACACACAGACTCACTTTGAATCCAGTGAATCTTTGGTGTTATATCGTCACTACCTTTCATGCATGGCGCCAATGATGACGACATCAGGCAAGCCCGCTCGAAAATCAGATTACTGAAGGCGTACGACCTGGTACTAAAGTGGGACTGGCAGAATGACGACTCTACTGAAGGCAAAGAGAGTCTTGACTCCCGTTTTACAATTGCAATGGCCGCAGTGGCAGGATAAGTCTTGCTTTAAGCTAGCTTGAAAGCAAGCTGTTCTCCTCGATGAGATCTTTGGGAAAGGATTCGGTACACGCTCAAAAGGGGCGCGCACGAGTTCCGGGCACGGAGCATGGAGACTGGGTGACCTGGGCAATGCGCATCGCCGGGGTCCAAATCATAGCGAACGCCCTCCTTTTGACGGAGCTTCCATCACACGGCAGAGGCAAAAGCTCGCTGAAGAGACCACCTTCTGTCGAAGGAGCCCCCTGTCTTCGAAGCTTGCCAGAACGGCCAACTTGTTTCAGGTGGGATTGAGCAATGAGACATGTTAGGTACTGCAGCGTTCAAAGGAAAGGTGTTTACCTCGCAGTCATGCAGTTTCCTAGATCCGAATAGTCTTCGTCGTTGAAAGCCTAGCAAAGCAGCCTGCATGCGCGTCTGACAGGTAGTCTCTGTCTGATTGAGAATTGGGGATGCTTGAGAAAGAGGCATGGATTGTCACATATTCTCAGATAAAAGTCTCCTTCACATGGATCGGTGAAACCTGGTGTAGGATTCTGATTTGCTTAGGGTTTTGCTCTGCAGGGGCATTCTAGGTGTTGGTGAAGGGTTGCTATGGGGCTCCATCGTTCTTAGATCCGCGAGATCTGTTATCGTTAGGGAACGTCAAAAACAACAGCTTTCGAAAATGAGAATTAACTCCATCACTTTTTCAAAGACATTCGTTCTGCAGGTTCCATTTGCTTTATTCTCATGTCCATTTTTTCTCCGGTTGCAGCTTTGCTTTGAGCCATGTCGAAGCCCGATCTTAAGCCAAGCTTTCCTGATCTAGGGTTCGAAGAGCCACACACTCCGCCGCATCAGGAAGCGCACCCCTCAAACCTGCGCTCAGCCGAAGAATCAGAGAAGCGCTTCTCCAGACCCGCCAGACTGCCTTTTAAGCAGCGGGCCTTGCTCAGGCGAGCTACCTCCCAGTACTTCGCGGAAAAACAGTTGGTCAAGGATCTACCGACTGAAAAACAGGGCCCGGAGAGTCCAACCCAGAAGGGAGCGCAGGAACGCCCTGGGCAACCGGCGAAGAAGCTCTCGTTTCGGGAGGCGGCGCAGGTTCTTGGCGACTTCGAGGCGCAGAAACACGCTGTCATGTCGCCGGAGGAAGGAGGGGCGTTCTTCACTGAGCAGGAGGCAGACAGTTCCCGCATTACCAATCCTGAGCAGGTGTTGGGTAAGCCTGAGGAAAACTTTCACAAACTTGGAGTGTCAACGGGACTTCTCGCGGACAGCCACGTGTCCGAACCTGTCTCAGGCATCGTTCCGGAGCGGAACGGTCCGTCTGCTGTGGGCTCCCTCAGCGTCGTGGCAGGGAAAACGGGGAGACGAAGTCCAGAAGCAGACAATCAGCCGTTCAATCTCCCGACGCCCGAGCTCTTCGACCTTCCTGAGAGAAACTTTCCGGTAATACGAAGAACTAGAGCGAGCGCTCCGCCCGGTTACAGCGGCTCGGAGTCGGAGGATGACGTCACGGAGCAGTACCGGGGCAGTCAGAGACGGTCGGTTGGTCCCCCCCGGTCAATGTTTCACGAGCGCCTCTGCGCTTATGAAGCGCTCAACTGGGAGAGCCCGGAGGAACTGGAGCCGAATAAAGCGCTCGGAGAACTAGACGAAAGGAGGGTTTCTGCAGAGGGAAGGCTGACCGGGGGTGAGTACCGGGGCCCGGGCGGTACGGACCGGCGGGCCAAGTTTGCAACGGTAGGCGCGCGAGCGTCCGCAGCGTATGACATAAGAGGGAGCCCCGTTTCGGATACGCGAGCGAGGCTGGTGGACCAGGAAAACGTGTCGCTGATTGACAGGTACGTTCTCTGAGCATTTCGAAAACGTATGCTCGAGAGAACTTTTGAACGCAAAAACAGGACGAGAGCAGTAAACTGATGAGATATTTGAATGGGAGGAGTGGTACCAGTCCATGGAGTAACGATTCAAAGCGGTGAGCTCGAAAGCAATCTGCCCGATAAGTGAATTGAATGATGCTGGAGCGTAAGGATAATCGACTGTTGACGAACTCGACGCTTTTGAAGGTAGAAACCGATCTCTCTAACGTGGCGGAGACCCAATTTGGAGAGCAGGTTCATCCCTTTTCTCAAGATTCAATGTTACGAAGCCGCCGGATGTTTGGCTGCTATCCGAGAATCCTGTAGTACGTCAGAATTGCAGAAGCTTTCGATCCCAAAAGGTGATCGTTAGTTTTGCGGTCGCATCTCAGTTGTTTCATACAGCTTACAACAATGCGTTCTGAGAGCACTATTTCAGACCAGCTTAACCACCGGGGGCCTTTTGAATTGTGAGCCCATTGCCTCAGTTTTGGAAAGTGAGCGCGTTTTCTTCTGAACGGTAAACCAAATTTCACCGATTGGTATGCCCACATGACCGCTCCGCTTGTCCAGGCACGTCAATCCCCGTGACGTGACGCTGACCGCAGCAGAGTCCCCCGGAGTGCGCTCCGCTCGCGCGCTCCGCAGCATCTACTCCGGGCTGTCACGGGACAAAGAACCCGCTTCCGGGGTTCCGCTCAAAGAAGCGGACCCGCGGAATCCTGCGCAGACAACGGATCTCTCCTTCGAGCTGTGGCGCCCAGAGAGCGTAGTCCGCGTCATTGGTAAAACGAACCGGGAGGAAGAACCGGGCGCAGAGTCCGCGGATGAGACTCTGGATTCGGCTCCCGGTGCTGACGTCAGGCAGGGGAGCGAGGTCGAAAAGAGTAACGCAAAGCGGGTGTCCTTTGGGGCGGTCGGGAGCGCGCGCGTGCGCGCCGCGCGGCCGGCTGAGCGCGCGGGCTTGGGGGGTTTGCCGCCCGAGGCGAAGTGGGCTGCCATTCAAAAGTCGCTGAAAGACCTGCACTCAGATCCGCGCGCCGGAGGCGGTTTAAAAGAAGAGAAACGGGGGCTGGAAGTTGATTCGAAAAATGCAGAAAGCCGCAAAGTTGAGGGCGGAGTGTCGGTCGAAGGAAGAAAGACCCGTCCTGTGAACAACCCGTTTTCGAACGGAAGAGGGGAGCGGAATTTGAACGTGGCGTTTGGTAGTTTGTTTTACCCCTCTCAAAGCGTCGATACGCAGGAGGTCGAAGACAGCGTAAATCCGTACGATGACGAACGAGACGCAGAAAAGACGTCGGGCGATTGGGGCCGGTCAATTGAGAAGGAGATTCCCCGCAGATCGGCGGAAAGGGCAGCGGTACCGAAACCGGAACCCCCGGTCAGAACCAGCTCGTACTTTAGCCGAAAGGGGCTGGAGCTCGACGACCGCGGCCAGCCGGTCGGTGTCGGGGCGAACTACCGGTCCCTCTCGGAAGAGTATACCGGTCAGGAGCAGGGACTATCAGCTGGAAGAAACAACCGGTCGCCCGAGAGAGACAGAAGAAGAAACCGGAGAACGGAATCGGAAACGGGAACGGAAACGGACCTCGCGCAGTCGATCGCGGAGCTGGCGGGCAATCGAGAGTGGCGCTCGCACGAGAACTACCTTACCCCGGAGGCCGAAATTCGCGGGGCCCAAAAATCGGCTAAGGGTCTCGGGGACGAGCGAGAGACTTCGCAGGCGCTCGCGGGGCGAGTGGGGGGAGAGGAAAGCGTGTGGGTTGCAACCAGGCGCGGCGGGAAGCGGTCGGTTTTAAAGGGGTGGGCGGGCGCGAAGCGGAGCATGAAGAAAGCGGTCGTTTGGTTGGGCCTGAAGAGCAATGACAAGAAGGTAGGCAAGTTTCTTGGTCCGAGTTCGTTTTACAGGTCGAACCTGCGCCATGGTGAGAGGGGCTTTCTGGATTGAGGTGAGAGCGTCACTCGAACAAGGTGAAAGCAAGAAGAAGAAGTACACAATGAGGAAGAATTGCACACTAACTGCAGATTGTATGCTTTTCGACTTTTCTAAGTTTCGTTCCGCTCTTCGATAGGATTTCCTGGACAGGCTTGCTTTTCGATCCCACCGCAGAACCAGACATTCGTCCAAACAGTGGATCGCCTAGATTAACGAGAATGCTCCCAAGGATCTTTTGCTTCCAAGGATGCAAGAGTTGCGATGTACTTGCAGTAGTACTCATCTCGATACAGAAGTACTGTGGAAAACTAGGATGTTCTGCCCCGAATTCAAAACCAGGTTTTCTCTTTTCTATATCTAGGATGTCTTACATGGACCTTTGCGTAGCGGTATTATTATCGTTTCGGTTCTCTGGCTGCTCTTCTGTACGAGTCACACTCATTCGAAATCCGGTAAAAGAGCTAGCGACGACCACCAGAAGAGAGCTACCAAACCTGGTTGCAGTTTCATAGGAGTTCCACACTCTTGTCCACCGTCCCTTTCGCAGATGGCCATCAACCTGGAGCGCCGCCCCACTTTGCACGGCCGCGCAGCTTCTCTCGACGCCGACTCAGACCCGGAACCCTTAAACCCTGCACCTGTCGCCCGGCCCCCGCGCGGCGCGGCCGCCATCAAGCGCCTGTGGCGAAGGATTACGGGCAAGCTGGCGGCGCTTTCCGCGCGCGCATCACGCGCCGAGGAAGCGCGCGCGTCTGACGTTAGCGGGCGGCCGGCGTCGAGCGGGTGGGCGAGCCGCGTCGCGCAACAGGCGGCCGCGCGTTCCGGGCTGACGGGCGGATCGAGGAGAACGGAACGGAACGAGGGGACGGAAAGTGATGGGGATCTGGCGGCTGCTCCGAGCGGGGCTATGAAGAAGTCTCCGAGTACGACTCGGGGCAGGAGCCCCCTTCACAAGAACAGGTAAAAGGGGCCCCTTTTGTTACGCTCTCTTCGGTGAAGATGATCGAAATATGCCCTTCTCGTTTTGTGGGCAGACCGAGAGCTTGTCCACCTGGTTCTGGATTAATGAGGTTCTGCATGCTCGGAACCTAATCAGTCGGGGTTACGTCGCTCTCGTCGCGATAGGGCATACCTACTCGTGAGGCCTCAAGCAGGGATGGTTCCGATCGTTCGTGTCTGCTCCCCTACACGCGCGCTTCAAGTCAGTGTCTCCATCCACACTGCTTTCTGCGGCACTGCAATATTTGCATACGTGTTTCATGCGCTTGACAGAAGTAAACCCAAGATAAACCCGCTTACAAACTGGAACGGTAAAACGGCGGACAAGGGACAACGGGGTGAACGGAATGACTCGAGCCGTGTCGGAGCCATGTGAACGCTGCCGTCGCGGGCCGAGTACGCAAACCGTTTTGCGATGCATTTCATTTCATAACATAAAAACGTGACGGCTTTTTCCAATGATCAGTCCGAATCGTCGTAATCTTGTGCCCCTTTCTTCTCGCAGGGTGGTTCACGGCGGTCGCGAGCTTCTAAAAGCCCCGCAAGCTTTAGAGACGAACAAGACGAATTAGATGGACGAGCATCAATCGAGCCTTGAAAGAAGCGGTTTTGACATCGTTACAGTTGCTCCGAGTTCGACAGATTTCGGGCGCCTTGCTGCGATACAAAGACCCAGACTTCCCGGTCGAGGGGCATCAATATAGCCTGAATTTGAGAAGCGCAAGTACACTTGATCCAATAGACGGACGTACGCTCACCATACAAATGAAGAAGGCGGCTTGGACCTTGGAGTAATATAGAAGCCTTTATCGGAAACATTCGTCGAAGAGCACCTGGCATGAAAGCTCTTCAACACACGGGATTCGTTCTGCGATTCCCTTTGACCTGGTGACCCCTTTGACTTTCAAAATATTCTCCTTTTAAAGATTGGGATGTGACGAGACAGGTGCTTGTTTCACCACTGGGTATTCAGTCGACTCTTCGTACATTATCTGAGCGCTTGAGTCTCAAAACCGACTTAATGTGCAGCATCATGCCATGAGTTGTGGCCTATATTCAAGGTGCTTCTCCTCATGTTCGTTATCTGAGGTTGTCTCTGAAAGTCAGGCTCACCGAGCCGCTGCGAAAATGCACGCCGCAGCTTAAAACAGACAAACACAATTGTGATGTCTCACGGAAGTGTTCAGCTGCGAAAGCACTCGTTTTGTATCCTGACTTCACAGCTTTGATTGAGGATGTCCTCCATACAGAAGTGTCGGATTCATGTCTTAGTGTGAACAAAGTTGTAAGACGCAGGGCTTCTCAGGAAGCCATTGTAATATTGAAACGAAGCGATGTCAACCGCGAATAATGGAGCAAGCCACTGAAGCTCGACAGTGATCTCTCCTTTCAAGATGACATACTTCAGGATCTTCAAGACAAGGAGACACAGGCATTTGAGGAGACGCTCAACAGCGGCCGTCAAACATTTCTGCACCAACGATGCAAGTGCGATGTCCCATCATCGAATAATCAGGTCGGTCACAACACGGGTAGGATTTACAAGAAACGAGTCGGCCTGTGTGAAAGCTGGAGAACGTCTTCGCCAACGGTACACGTTGCGTATGGCACAAAATGGATTTATAAGATCACCTCAAGAGCCGAGGGTACATCTGTGCAGACAAGTCTGTACTTTTGTTATCAACAGCTGTCTCTTTCTGCTCGGTCTATCAGCATCGCACTCTACTCGGATGGTGCAATCCAGGCATGGTGACTGGACGGACACGTCTAGTCTCTCCCAACCAATATAACAAACAAGACTGTACGCTTTTACCCCATCTCCTACGTTCAAATATATGAGAGGCCTATATAATTTAGCTTTCCTGAACCTCAACAGTGATCACTTTCGGCTCCTGTGCCTTTCTCTTGGCCACGTGGACGGACAGCACGCCGTCCTTGACGGCTGCCTTCACATCCTCGCCGTTGGCGTCCTTTGGTAGCCGGAACTTCCTCTCGAAGTTGCCCCGCGACCTCTCCACTCTGCAACGATCAAGAAAGAGTCGGGTCAGGACCTATTAAAGAGTCGTTTAGCAAGAATACAAAATCGAGCACTCCGTTTTACAGAAAGAGTGCTGTATAAGAAAAAGTTCCCCGCAACTTCAGCCATGTTCTCATACCCGCACTCAACACGAGCACCTTAAAACAGATGGTCTTAAAACGACCGAACTCAAAACTTGAGAGGCTACACCTCGGAATCAGAACACTTGTGGTAGTGGTCCAGAAAAGCAAAAGTTCAGCTGACAGATACCATACTTTCCCCTGACCTGATCAACCTACTCTCATTATGATAGTCCCTTCCTTGCTTTGCCCAATCCTCCAAACTCTTATCCCTCTCAAGACGAATTCTTCCCCCCCTCAGAACGTCACTACTTCACCCTTTTCCAAGCTCGTCATCAGTACTGGGCTTCAGAAAAGAATGAGAGTTACTTCCGCAAAGCTCACCTCCTACCTATGAGGATCACTGCAGAGCAAGTAATACAAGACTTATGCAGATTCTTCATTCAAGAGCAATCAATTGTTTGACTTTATCAGAACTTACCTGTGGTACTTTTGGCCCGGTAGCTTCTTCTGCTGCTCCCTCTCGCCACTGAGCACAAGGACTCTCCCCTGCTGCTCCAGCTTCACCTTGACTTGATCCTTGTTCAGCCCCGGTACCTCCATCTCAAACTCATAAGCCTCTTCAGTCTCGCGCACGTCCACCGGTGCAAAAGCAGCTGGGGCTTGAGGCTGAGCTGCTGGATTGCAGGCACAGGGGTCGCAGTCACACTCGGCTTGCATGACGAAGGCGGGGTCCCAGTGACGGCTGAGGAGGGCGGCTAGAGCCATAGTGCTGATGCTGTGGTTGATGCTTGCTTGAATTAAGATGGTCAAAGCGGGGGCGGTGGTCTCTTGGAGGCGCTGAAGAGTCGCTGAAGCTGCTGTGATTGCTTGCGAAAACGTTTCTGGAATGAATGAGCTTGACGTCTGAGAGCAGGAGGGTTTTATAGCGCTTGCAAAGCTGCGCGACATTCGTAGCTCATGACTTGAGTCAGAGTGCACTGTGACTGAAAGTCTGCAGTGCGGGTCTAGAACCGTCGATCAGCTTCTAGAAGCTCATCGATGGTTCTAGGTTCAACTTGTCCCAGAACTTTCACGAACTTTCAAGATTCGAGTAGAACTCTCGGCCGTCGGAACGGGATCGACGGTCATAGATAGTTCAAAGCCCGGCCGCGCGATCTAAGGTGGGCGGCCGCCGGCCGATGCGGCGTCGTCGAGGCGTGGTCGCGGACGGCCCGCCAGCTAGCCCAGGCCCATAGCCTGCAGTGGCGGCCCCAAGAGCACGTGCACGCCATAGGAAGCTACTATATTTATTTTGTAAGCCACAGTGGCGTGCCGGCCCACAGGCCACTTGAAGCTCAGTGCCTGTGGCACTCTGTCAAGAATGCCAGAATAAGACAGGACCGTTGATATCGGAAGTTTGTTAAGTCGATGAAAATGACTGAACCTCATGCAGGCCTCGGCACATTAGTACTTGGTCTGTTCCCAGATCTCAAAAACAACACTTCAACTTCACAGAGATTTTTGCCGGAAGTAGCCGCCATACGCTAGCTCGCGGATCGTTTCAAGTTCGCATCGGATGCGAGCGGCCGGGCATTGCAAAGTGAATGTCTCTGCAACCGACGTTCCAAGTACAGTGGCTAAGGTGGCCACAATCTCTAAGACGTTGGGACGCAACCGGCCCCTTCCTGCTCGTTGGAACCGGCCGCTGGACGCCAAAGAAACCGCATTTCTGTAAGGGACAGGTAAGATACCGCCTCAAAACATCGAATTTGATGTTGCATCCGACTGATTGAATAACCAATAAAAACAATTGTATGGTTCAGACATTCTGATGCACGGGTTTCATGTACCCATGTCTCCTGTCGGAACTCGCAATCTGACCAAGAAAATTGTCATGATATCATGAAACCATCCATTCAAGCCCTTGAAATCAACAACTTCGAAGTAAACTAGTAACATGCCACCTGAGAATATGTTAGCACCTACGCCACTGGCTGATGTGTCTCAGAACAAAATGCTATTGACGTCGGTGGATTTGGCACAGGCCGGAGGCCCGGCCCTATTCGGAAGTTCCCAATTCCACGCTTTGAATCATTTCTCTGCCTCAAATGACCTGAAGAGCGGATGAGCCAGAGGTTTTGTGAGTCGCTCCACAACTCCAGAAGCGGACGTTACTATATTCCGCCCAACACGTCCAGTGGCCAGGTCGATCCGGTGGACCTTAAAAGGTGCAATAAGTCGAGAACGGGCTGAGAAAGATTGTTGACGTGCTTTCCAAAATATAATTTCGTAGACTCCTCTTGCAGTACTTTCCTGGTTGGTCCTGCTTGCGATTGTATTCGTCAAAAGGTTTCCTTCATCCAAGTTAGGTCGATCCAGAGCCGCAATATCTGCGGCCAATGCGTCGCAATGATCTGCGTGAAGGTAGGGAGTGGAGAATTGCACAGTTCTGGCCCCCTTCCTGCAAGACAAGAAACACAGGTAGCCGACGAAACCTCTCGTATATTTATGCGCCATGCGAAGAACATATGTCGTCTTTAGCGACCATCCTTAGGCACTTGTTTGTCTGCTTCGTAGAGCCGACGTTGTCACACGCTTGCTGTATGGCTGCAGCGCCTACTACGGCGGAGTAACGAAAGGAAGCCAGGCACAACTTAAATCTACGAGTTCAAGTTCAAAGCAAATCATGATGTGCTACCCAACTGTCTCCATTAAAAGTAACCCTTGAGATGCGCGCACTTGATGTGCGGCCTGAATAAGAACCAGTCTGGTCTCACTTTCCTTTGAGAATGCACTCTCGAACTGCGAGCGGCCACGTTTAGACTAGACGGATACATCTGCGTCGACTGGAGGCTGTTGTCCTGCTCATGTACGTTTGAGCGGCTGTCAAAACGCAGCATGTCTATAATATGTCAATACAAGATCAGATGCTCGAACATTTCCAATCATTCTCATACTCAGACCCACATCATAAAGAACAGGACGACAAACAGATTGTTCATGCCGGTCATGACCTTGATGCGAAAACGAAGTGGGCTTGAACAAGCTCGTTTGTCGTACCAATCACGGAGTGCGCACGTGCGCATACACAGCGTATCACTCGGGCATACGTGCTTGATTATTGACTCGAGTATAATATGCAGATATGTACAAGTTGGCTCTCATGCAACAACCCATGTAGATGCATCTTTGATAGATCAAGAAAAGTATCAGAAGTGATATCTTTGACTTCCATTCTCGGGCCATTTACTTTTGCGCACCTGCAGCTTAACGGCTTGCCCACTAGGTAGTCGCCCAGAGCCGGGACGCAAGGCTCATCGGTAGGTAGTATTTGTCAACTGTGCGCCAATCATCTCGTGCTTTCATGCAGGCGCTTGACATGCAGAAATCATACGTACAGGGCTTTCGACCGGCCATCACAACCATGTGATCAATGCTGTACAAACTTTATGATCCAGGCGGCGACTGTGCTTGGGTCCGATTGCGCCGCGACATGTGCGTCAACAAGCTGCAGACTTTGCCTAGGATGCAGCGGGCCGTCTTATTGACGCGTGATCATGCAAGTCACGCATTCGCCCTGCAATTGCATTGCATTTCAATGCAGGTCCCATAATAAACTCTTGAATATACTAGCTAACATGATCCGGATTACGGTATAGCATGACTGTACAGCATCCGACATATTTTATGCACACACGGTGCAACCGTCATACATATGCTGGCGTGCAAACATGATATCATTCGGATCTGCGCGGGCGTGTACTATGTAATCAGAATGCACGGAGCACAAGCTAGATTTTGCTGCGCCGCCATATGATCGAGTGACGCGTGTCACTGCGACAGTCTAATTCAGACTTGCATCATGCTTGCAAAGTTTTATACAAGGGATCGGGCAAAGTCACTCATGATTCATAATGCAAAACGCACTGGCATATACATGCATGATCGGTCCACACATGATGGAAACACATTTATGAAACTGTGCCAAACTTCACTGAAAGGAAAGAACTGGACGAGATCGCGAGATACACCAAAATGATGTTTGTTGTTCAAAGTAACCTATTATACTACTTTTTTTTGACACAAAAACGATAAAATCCGAGTCGCTCATGAGTATAACTATGGCCCAAGTTGAGTGTAGCAACGGAGGCTGCCCTAAATCATGAGCCGAAAGCGAAGAAACTCTCCTGAGGTTCGTCGTCTTTAGGGAGCGTCTCAGGTTGCGGTGACTACGTTGTATTGCCTTCTGCTCCAACGTCAATTTAACTTTTCACGGTAGCAATCTAGAAACCTAACTAGCGTACTTTCATAACCCTAGCCTGCCCTTCCCGTCATTGATGTGCAACCTTCTAGGCTGGCCTGCAGCCGCTCTCTTGCCTACCAGCCCACAGATTACTCTGCCCTATGTACAACGTCCCACACACTTCCACTCTCTTTATCTTCTCAAGACTCTGTTCCGCCTGCCTGACACTCGACTCAGGACTCCATGCCCCTGGGGGGGCTCTCCTGGCGCATCCTCTTCAGGCTCTCCGAGCTGGTCGCCTCTTGGTGGCTGGCCCCTCTCTCTTTCCCGCCAGAGGAGCTCGCGCTTGCATACGAGCTGCTGGTCGGCCCGTTCCCCTGGCCATGCGCACCGCGAGCGAAGCCACCTCCTTGGTGGGGGTACGGAAAAGCCCCCACCCCCGCTGTAAAGTGCGACCCAAACGGGGGGCGCGGCATGTGCATGGGCGCCACTCCTAGGGGGAGTGACGCCAACGACGCCCCCGCCAGGATGTCATGAAGCTCGTACATCTCGGACTCCTCGGACGCTTCAGAAGAGTCAGACGTCCCAGAAGACTCGTCCTCCTCCATGCCGTCCGCCGGGCTGCTCGCCGCGGCTGCCCCCCCTTCGGCGTTGCAGATGGGGCAGTCGTGATCCGGGGCGTAGAACGTCGCGCCAAAGAAAGGAGGAGGGGGGGCACCAAAAGGTGGGGGGGGAAAGTGGGGCGGGGGCGGAGGGGGACCCCAGTGGTGGGGCGGGGGAAAGGGGGGGAGCGCGTGGTGCCCACGCCAGTCCCCGAAAGGGGGTCTGCGATGGGGGGGGCCGTGGTGACCCGGCCCATGATGACGACGCCCTCGGTGACCACCGTCTGTGGCCGGGGGGGCCGTGATGTCCGTGACCATGATGGGGAGTCCGTGGGGTCCTGGTCCGTGGGTG